TTATAGAACCAAGATTCATCACCAGTAACGATGCTAGTAAAGTTGCTAGACTGACCATTTTCAATTTTCTTTAGGAAAAATTTAGCATTTTTTATGCTTTCGATCCTCTTTTTGGGCTTTATTCAAGCTTCAGGGTACCCAACGAGCAGATTCCTTCATGTATCCCAGGAGTTTGTCATTCAAGCGCAATTCATTAGCTATCATTTCTTGTGTCAATCGTGGATCTTCGTCAATTTTCGACATTATCAGAGCTACAGTGACGTCATTAGCGTAAGATTTTGGTCGACCTTTTGGGGGACCGTCCTCTACGGAAAAATGCCCAGTTTGGAATCTTCGGAACCACTTACAAATAGTTCATAAAGACGATGCAATCGTTCCATATGCAACTTGGCATTCACCGAATATTTGTGTTGGTTGTAAATTACGCCGAAGCCTGCAGAGAATCCCATGGTGAGTTTCTGTTTGCGTTGGTGGTGGAATTTCTACTGACCAGTACCCAGCTTTTTTTTTGCTTGTCCTCGTCTCCTGTTTAGCCGATATTTTTAAAATTTCAAAGGAAATCTGATAAAATAATTGCAAAGGATTTGGTATATTTAGATTTAACAAAAACAAATCGAAGGTAACCAACTAAACGAACTTTTGTAAATCCCCTCGTATATATGTACATTGAAGTTGGTAAGTAAATGCATACATATATATAATATATGTACATATATTGAAATGTATGCAGTGAATGAATGCCTCGCGGTCTTAAATACTGGTAAATCATCGTTTCACACCATTGAATGCGTTGCAAGCAGCCGTCTGCTGCTGCTGCTGCCGCTGCCATTGCTACCACTTCAATTGTTTTTGCTGCAGCTGCGGCGCCTAACAAAGTTTTATTATTTTTTATTTTTTTTTTTTTGTTTTTGCTAGCTGGCAGCTGAGGCCAATGTTACAGTTTCAATTAATTAAAGCAATTTTTTTTGTTATTGGGTACATTCTCCGCGGCTTTGCCACTCGTACACTGCTCGTGGTTAGTTGCGCGAAGCATGGGCAAAACAATGGGTGTCTAAACAACGCCCAGCGCACGGCTAAGGGCAAGGATATGAGGGTTAGGTCTGGTTTCGGCATTGTAGCCATGTGCTCCGTTAGCTGTTGCCGTTTATTATTGCTGCTGCTGCTACTGCTGCTGCTGCTTCTGCTGATGTTGCTGTTGCTGTTGCTGGTGTTCAGTGACACTTCGTCAAAGAAAAGTTTTTGTTTCTCCCCTTTTTCTATGGAAATAATTAGTTATGTGTGTTAAGGTAATTTATGTTTTTCAACGAAGTGCGTTATTAATTCTTATAATAATTATTATGTTAGCAAAGTTTTCGGCTATTTACTTAGCTGTACATTTAATTAGAGGACTTTAAAAAATGAGACTTTCCAAACAGGGTTATTACATTATTAAACCCTTTGAATTTATGTGTATTTGTATGCATATACTGTTAAGAATTGAATGAATTGTTTTGTAATGAGGACACATTACTTTGTTTGAGTTGGTTTTCTTCTTCTTCTTTTTTAGTGATTTAGGCACTGCGCTTACGTGATTTTGGCCAAGTTAATACACGCCAGTCGTTTTCTTTTCTCCAATTGGAGAAACCAAGTTAGGCCAGATCCCTCTCCACATGATTTACGTAGTGGTACGGAGTGAAGCTCTTACGATTTCTCTCCTTACGCCGCACAATGGGATAAAAGTGTTGCAAACACGTGCATCAGAGAAAAAAGTGAGTTGGAAGCAGGACATTTTTTGTTAATTTTTCCATATTTAACATATCAGGTGTACAACTTTGTTTCCGCCAAAGATTTCCAAAATTAAAAGCTTTATTGCGAAAAGGTGCTTACAGATAAATATATTATTCAAAGTATTGTCCTTCGCTAGCGACAACTTTCTCCCATCTTTCTGGCAATTTTCGGATCCCGGCTCGAAAAAAGGAGTCCTCTTTTGACGCTATCCATGAAGATGGATTACTTCCAATTCTTTCCAATTCTTCGAAGGATTGAAAATGTTGATCTGCCAGGCCGTGTGCCATCGAACGGAATAGGTGGAAGTCAGAAGGGGCGACATCTGGGGAATACGGCGGGTGGGGCAAGACTTCCCATTTCAGAGTTTCCAGGTACTTTTTGACCACTTTTGTGACGTGAGGCCGAGCATTGTCGTGTTGGAGGATGACTTTGTCATGTCGCTCTTGATATTGTGGCCGCTTTTCTTTTAGCCCGCAACTAAGGCGCATCAGTTGCGTTCGGTAGCGATCTCCTGTGATGGTTTCATCGTAAGTTTCTAAGAGCATTCGATGCGCTTCAGCTGCATTTTTTCCTTTTTCGAATTGGAACAGAAAAGTAAAACTTCCCGCAAATGGCGAGAATTAGGCACATAAACGGACATTTTCGAGTGTGAATAATACGAAAACAAGAACAACTGTCACTGAAGCGGCGATGACAATGCGTTAGGCACTGTTCACACTCACTTTAAAGGCATTATCATCTATGTATTTCAACCAGCCTCAGCCGGTACAGCCACCTATCGGGAAACGGCGGAAGCAAAGTTGTACACCTGATACATTGGGCCAAAAGAAAAGCTTTATCGCGATAATCGAAATCGGACAACGCATGCCAGAGGAATTTATTTGTTTAGAAAATATAAGCGCTCGAACTTCTTCCACAAAAAATAATTTTTTTGGAAAAAGTAAAAATTGTCTTTGGATATTTCGGATAAGATTTCTCGGAGGGGTTGACATTCCCTTACTTAAGTTAATTTTTCTATAACTTCGGCTACCGTGGACGTTTTTTCTTTTATATTCAAAAATACGAAGGGCTTTCCAATCGATTACGATGAAACAGACGTTCCATTACCTGACCATCACGAAGTTCGCAAGTAGCAATCGCCCTATTAAAAAACAACAAAGCGGCGCAAGCTGACGGCCTACCGGCAAAACTATTCAAACATGGCGGTGAAAAGTTGACAAGGTACATGCATCAGCTACTGGGCAGTATATGGTCGGACGAAAGTATGCCCGACGATTGGAATTAAAATGTGCGACCCCACAGTCTGCGCCAATTACGGTGGGATAAGCCTCCTTAATATCTCCTATAAGATCCAGTCGAGCGTATTGTGTGAAAGACTGAAGCCTACCGTCAACAAACTGATTGGACCTTTTCAGTGTGGCTTTAGATCTGGTAAGTCAACCAATGACTAGATATTCACCATGCGACAAATCTTGGAAAATACTCGTGAAAAGAGGTTTGACACCCACCACCTCTTCGTCGAGGCCTTCGACAGCACGAATAGGAACTGCCTATATGCCGCTGTGTCTGAATTAGGTATCTCCGAAAAACTTATACGGCTGTGTAAACTGACGCTAGACAACACCACAAGTGCGGTCAGAATTGGGAGGGACCTCTCCGAGTCGTTCGGTACCAAACGAGGTTTCAGACAGGGTGACTCTTTGTGGTGCGATTTCTTCAATTCGATGCTGGAGAGAATAATATGATCTGCAGAGCTGAAGAGTGTACAACTACTGGCGTACGGTGCCCTCAACCACAGCGCCGTTAGTTCTGTTTCTCCAGGATTGATAAAGAAGCAAGGCGAATGGATCTGGTAGCGATCGAGGAGAAGCCGAAATATCTCCTGTCATCAAGACCTCAAGGATGGGAAAAAAGATTAATTTTAATTTAATATACAAATAGCTCAGCTTATTGGAGAACCCTGTATAATAGGAAGGATTGACATTCCATGCCAAGGAGCGATAGCAATTTTGGATATTCTACGCACTACTACCCAGCAGGAAAAAATTCTTAGTATTATCTCAATCCAACTGACTAGCACGGCGATGGCCTACGAACTGTCAATTGTCCGCCTATACCTCAGTTTTAAACTACTTTTATACTAGTTAATATAGGCAAATTGAGTTTCTACTTCACCAAAAAATAAAAATAAGTTTGCCTGCAGCGAGACTCGAACCATCTTTGGCGATTGTGATGATGTCTCGATGAACGTCATATTGGGCACTCCAACAGAGTGTACCGGTAATGAAATTTCGCCGTGACGTGGTAGATACATATTGTAGAACAATCACAAACAGTGGTGGAAATTTTTTTTACTTCTGTTACTGGTGCACTGCTATGCAACTAAGCAACTCTGGTAAGTTTACATCTATAAAAAAAAAACTGGTATTTAACTAGTATTTTTGTATACCACTCCACTCTCTCTCTCTCTCTCTCTCTGCAGATAAATGGTTTCATTTGGTGGAAAAATGTAAAGAAAATTTTTCAAAATTAATTTTTAAATATTTTTGTCAAATGGTGACATTTATCGAATTGCTCATGAGTAACTGGCGGATTTTATAATAACAACAATAATGATATCATATGATAATAATGATAGAGATGATAATTATCAATATACTTTGATTGAAGGCAAATTTAAAAGAGATAGCAATCGCTTTTTGGGGGTGAAGGAATGGCAGTAAGAATTAGCCAATCAAAATCGCGCTCTCTCGTGCTCTTGCCTCACTGCACTCGGTGCAGTAAAAATTGGTAAAAATTGTAAGTGCCCATCAGCTCACCGAACAGCACTAATTCCAAGCCACTGTCTACAGTTTAAGACAACACGATTTTCTCATTGCCCTAACCGGTTTCAGCCGAAAATTGAACACACACAATGTCTGAAGCTAACAATGCGTACGGGAGACAACCAAATCTGCGAGCTTACACGCTCAGCAAGGATTGATAAACAAATCGTGCGATCAGGTTTACGCCTACAAATATACAAATATACAAATATACAAGCATAAACGAGTACATTTGGTGGTTAAAATATATATATATAAAAATGTCTTAGATGCCTTAACGCTCTTGACATTGTTTGCCGCTCATCCATCTGTGTCAGAGCCGATATGTTTTTGCACTCACACTCTTTCGAGGAGAAGATCACCTTTATGTAAGATCACCTTCGGTATTCCATTGACTTCCTTCATTCCAAGCGCTAATTGAACATATGTATGCATGTATTTATGTATGTACATATAACAAATAAACTGTATCGATTTGAGCTTTTCTCAACAAGTCAACGATCCAATTCGAACAGTTCATTTCCATTCGCGTTGTTTGTCACACGCTCCATCGATGCGCTAGCAAATATTACGGAATATCACGATCGCCGGCTGGTCGGTCTGTCTATGTGTTCTAAACGCTTCCTACATAAATAAAAATAAATTGAAAGTAAAGAAATAAATTGTATAAATTGATCTACACAAACATATGTCAATAGCAACGTAATTATCGTTCACTTAACGTCATCAGCGTGCGTTCTTCTTCTTCTTCTGTTGACATCGCTTGGCGGCGAGGTCAAGCGCTTAATTTAATTAATACCTCTAAGCAAAGTGTTGTAGTGGAAACAATTCTTAAAAAAAAAAAAAAAAAAAAGCGAGCTTCTCGTTTGTGCACTACCCGAAACAAAAAGCAGCAAAGCGACTAAATCAGCGGGGGTTCGTCAGGTGGATATGCATTAAGTGCTGTTGACAGTAGCAATCAACCAAGAGCCAATGGCATATCAACTGAATTTACCGGCAACATTACGACGCGGCTTCTTTGTTTCAGCGCTAGCGGCACTGCTGCTCGTCCTGCAGGCGACAGCCGTACAAAGCATTGCAGCCGCCGACACTGCAAGCACCAAAACGCCCAATGACTCGCCCGCGCTCAGTTTGACAAGCAATACACCGCCGGAGCCGTCACCGCCACCGCGCACATGCAACTCCATTGAAGTGCGGTCGAGAAAGGATTTTGCATTGTTACAGAATTGTACACGAGTGATGGGCCACGTTACCTTGGCGCAAATACAATTGACGGCCGTGGAAGTAGTTAAGCGGCAATTCGTCTCGAAGGTGGAGGAGATTAGCGATTATTTGTTGGTACATCGAGTGCATGGCTTGGAAACCCTGCAGTATATATTTCCAAAATTGATCGTTATACGTGGCCGACACTTGCTCTTCGATGAGTTTGCATTGGTGGTGCATGAAAATCGTGATTTAAGCAGTTTAGGCCTAGCATCACTTATGCGTATACAAAAGGGTAATATACGCATTGAGAACAATCCAAATCTATGCTATGTGGATACGGTGAATTGGGTGCAGTTATTGGGCAATAGTACACAGCAGCATTTCTGGCATAAGGTGGGCGGTGCACTCTACTGACTTACTAACTGCGTGCTGTAGACCAGAATTTAATTTCGATTATTATTATTATTTGTATTTTCTGTAGAAAAATAAATTTCATAATCATTGTTCGCATTGTCCACGCACTGCCAATGAAATCGCCCAGGAAGAAGACCTTTCGGATAAGTTACGTAAGCATTGCTGGAACTTCGATCTGCCACAACTGGGCTTGCCCACTGATGATGACAATTGTCGTAGGCTGTGTGGCGATCGTAGTTGTGACAAGAAGGGTAACTGCTGTGATCGGAATTGTCTCAGCGACTGTGATGGCATGAAGTGCAGATTGTGTGCAAATTTGAATTATGAGAAACAATGCGTAGACTCCTGCCCGTCCGAGTATTATGAGGTGAGTGTTCGTATTGTGTAAGTGCTTAAAGAAATCCCTAGAGTTTTTATTTTTCTTCTTATACTACACCGCAATGTGTGTTGGGCGTTCACCGAGATATTGTTCCATCACTTCCTCCTCTGCCATCTCCCTATATATACGAGTATATAATTGACGCTTTCTAACCGCTGAATCGATTATTCGGCCGAGCTCCTCCTCTAATTTGTGGTTTTGCGTCTTGACGTTTTTCCAACAAATGGAAGGACCTATAGTTTATACTAAGCCGCCTCCGAGGTTTTGAGGCTTTGTTACATGTCAAAAATACACTCGGAGGGGTTGACATTTCCTGCCGAGGTGCGACCGTAGTTAGAAAATATAGATTAGTTTTTTATTGAACTTAATTTTTTTATAATTTTTTGGATGTTAGTAAGACACCAGGTTTTTTACCCGAACCTTCCCAATTTTGTTGTTGTTGTAGTAGCGTCGGTCACCGAAAGGGTGCCGGATATAATCCGGGTCAGCTACGGTGCGTAGAACCGGTTGTCTTGAGATGCTAACCACTCGGCTACCGTGGACGCCATGTTCCTATAGTTGTAGTAGAAATCGCCAAATAAGCTGTCCATCCTTCTACCATGAGTCCGCATAAGACTGTGTGCATTTATATCGCATGCTGTTATTCTAATGGAGATCCCGTTTGCCAGGAGTAAAGATTTAATTCCTTTCTCGCCAATCACATTCGAAATGGTTTCATTGGATGCGGAAGCAATACTCTTGTGCGACGGCGCATCAAAAAACAATTCATGCTTATGCAAGGTTAAGGTTAAGGTTTTTAAGATCTTTTTAAATGTAACGGGTAGACCAACAAAACTTTAATGAAATGTCTCGGCATTACAGTTAATGGTGTAACACCACTACCGCCGTCCTATGGAAACCAAATATCGTCCTTTTCATTCCCATCAACGTTCGAAAAAAACATGTTATCATTGCCTCTGTGGGTTAAGAGCTCAAGAATATAACCGTGGTAAGGCATGCTTGTCATAAGAGGTGACTGAAATCCAATAGCTCCCGCGGCAGTACCGAAACGATCCGGGTTTTTATCCGGCCAAGGCAGCTTCTTCCTAGATTTCTAAAAAAAAAAAACCAACGACTGATGCTGCCAGACCAATGGACGCACCAAACAGTCCTTCGTTTTGGATACTTTGGCTTGGTACGTGTGTGTATTTTGAACCTCTGCTATTTGATTGGTAACATAGCACCGAGGTGAAAATGAGCTCCATCAGAAAGGGTGATTTTCCAGTGAAAATACTTTAGGTTTATCGGAATGTCATGAGACTTCAGTTCTTAGACCGATTGGACCTCGTAAACTTTCATACCGAGATCTTTGTGTAAAATCATGCAAAGAAGTAGACGAAATGTTTAATTCCTGCGAGCGATGTCAGGTTGATGTTAATAGCTGATCGAGCACACTTTGAGCTTCAACTGCAATATTTTCCTTTGAACGCATTGAAGAAGCAACTACGCCAGTTGTTTTGACCACTATCGTACCGGTTTGACGAACTTGCTGTACTAAAAGATCCATCAACTAACTGAAAGTCGAGATACTTCGTTGAAATGTCGTGCGTAACTTGCAGTTGTAGTTGAAAGCTCAGCATTTTGGAAGATAATTTTCAATATTTCTCAATTATTTTTAAGTGCAGTTTTAAACAATTCGTAAACCCCAAGTCTTTTACGAAATATTCGGCATATAGTAAATGTCTTTGAAGATGTCAAAGCTCAAGCAAGTCGCAATTGAGACAGCAAGCGACTCGTACAAATAAGCTTTAAAGCTTTGGGATTCACTTTGATGTGACGAAAACTATTAAAACAGTGAAGTGGAAATTATGTTTTTGTTTTATAAATAAAAGAATGCATTTTTACATAATTTATTAAAGAAATAATTTCATTACTCTCTTTTAGTATCAGGAACGAGATTGTATAACCGCTTTGAAATGTCGTAAACTGGGTTTAATTCCGCACGCTGGCTCGTGTATAGAGAAATGCCCAAAAAATTATGTCATCTCCTTTATAAAAGACCAGAAGTCATGTAAACAGTTATGTAATGGAAAATATATTATTAACACGGTAACGGATATTGAAAGTTTGAGAGGTTGTAGCAAAATAGTTGGTTCACTCACTATCGAATTGACAGATATGAAAAGTGAGTAATTTATACATTTATTTATATAATTTAGATTTGTTTAAATATATTTATTTTAAGATTTCTGACATTTCATATAAAAAAATATATAAAATTTTTATTACTTAATAAAATTAAAAAATTTTCTATCAAATTTACACACATACATTTTTATATGTAAAAAAATTAGTTTTTAAATCCGGCCAACAAATACATATGAAAAGTAATAAAAAAAAATGCTGATTTTTCGAGCGACGGTCTTCGATTGGACTGAAATTCGGTTCAACGTTTTAATTTCATGCTGAAACTAATAGAAATCGACTGGAATGGTCAAGTAAAAAGTAGTCCATTATTTTTACATTATTTCACATTTTAGAATTATTCGATTTATTTATGTCATAAATGCACTGATTTGCTCGATAACTTCTGGCTACTTTGGACGTAATGTCATTATGCCCAGAGAACGTAAATGTACAATACTAAAGAGAAGTACCCGGGAGTGCCGATTGCCATTTGCTCCACCTACGGGATTGCTAAGAGACTATTTAACCTTTATACGATGTTAGTAACAGACTATTTCACAGCTAGTTAACAGCGAACTACCAGAGACTAACAAATTATTTACAGAAGAATGATATTTGGGAGACAATTATTTTATTAATTTACTATTATCTTGCTCTGAAATGTTGACAAACTGAATCAGTGTCTGGCGGCAGTAGTGAAATAATCTCTTTTGGCAGTTCACACGCCGTCCGCAATTAGGACTTGATACTGTAGCAGGTTAAACTGCTACTTATCCAAACTCGATCCCAACATATCCAACAAATGCCCTGCATATGGATAGTCTCCGCACGACACTAACCACCTCTTCACATGCTCCCTTAAACCGACTCATCTAACCCCCTCTCCCTCTGGTCCAATCCCGTCGAAACATCACGTTTCCCTAGACCTGTACCAAAGTGGGGCTAGCGAACTGCTACGAAAATAACAACAACATGTATAGGTGCCTGGTAGTTAAAGAGAAAAAATCTCATGGACCGAATATTCATCTGCAAATCGCCATAACTAAATCGACACAATTCTGGAGCGGAGATTGGCTGGTGGTGAAAAGTGGATCAAAAGTGAATTACCAAATCAGATAAAAACGGCCCTGATCAAAGCGCAGAGAACTCGCACAAATGATCTCCAAACCAGAACTGACATCTAGGAAGGTTTTACTGACAAGGAATCATCCACTATGAACTATTCACCTACGACCAAACTCTTAAATCAGGTCATAGAGTCAACAATTAAATTGTCTCAGAGAAGCAATCGCTCTCAACACCCAGCTTTGGTCAACTAGAGGGGAATTGTGTTTCATCATCACAACGCCTGACCTCAGAGCTTGATTGGGTGGTTCCTTTGCATCGCACCAAGTGCTTGCCCTCTGTTCCTGTCTATGGCGAATTATTTGACTGGTGAAAAATTCGTCTCAAAAGAAACCTACAAAGATCGATTGTACCAATTTTTCGACAATAGGGACAAGATTTTTTATGGGAGAGGCATAATGACATTCCTTTCAATATGGCAAAAAGTTATCGATATGACAAAAAACTGATAACTGTAACTATGGTAAATAAAGCCTTCAAGTTTAATGCAAAAATAAAGGACTCCTTTTTAATTGTCCTTCCGAGTCGATGTCTGTCAGTTTTGGCATGAAATTATATAATGTGCAAAATTTCAGCCAATCCGATTATCATCACGTAAAAGCCCGATTTGTTTTAATACCCTTATTGGATGGCCATCTAGATTTTTTTAACGGCAAATGGGTGTAAAAGCAAATAAAAAAGACTGCATAAAATAATTAATAAAAAATAAAATATACAATAAAATTTGGAAAACCACGTATCTACATTTATGATTCTTTTATGCTTACAGTCAAAATCAATCACTTGGATGCGGCATTTTCTAATGTTACCGAAATCACGGGCTACCTGAAGGTGGTAAACTCGCCTCAATTACTTTCATTACACTTCCTACGCAATCTAATTACAATACGAGGTGAAGAACTCATTGATGATTTGTAAGTTTTATTTCAATACCAATGGGAACTTCCCACACTCCCCCTGCGGGTTAGGGGTACAAGAATTTAACCGCGGTAAGGCATGCCTGTCGTAAGAGGCGACTAAAATCCAATAGTTCTCGCGACAGTCGGGTCTTTATACCGGAACGTCACTCACGCAACATTCCCCAAAAAGTGCTTTGGGGAATATTTTTGCGGTTACAACAACAACGACAACAACACTTATGAAAACTTTTTAATTTTTTTCACTCTTCCAGGTATGCGCTCATTGTGGTGGATAACTTTCATTTATCGGAAATTTGGGCGCCAAATCAAAATGTTGCCATTTTGAAGGGCAGCATTTATTTTCATCTTAATCCTCGTTTGTGTCTCTACAAAATACGTGAACTTCAAAAGTCGATAAGAAGTGAAACTAAACCGATTAATACAGTGAATGCGTCGCCACACTCGAATGGCGAGCGGGTTGTTTGTGAGTAATCGACTTTTATATGTCGACAATTTACACGTATTTGTATGTATGTATCGGAATTTGTTATTAATATTCAAATTTTCAGGTAGCAGTGCCCCGATCAATCTAACGGTAACAGTAGAGGACTTCAATTCAACCGCCGTACGCTTGAAAATTGATATATATTTACTCTACAACATACAAGTTATACTTGGTTATGTGTATTACTACAAGGAGGCGCCAATTCAAAATGTTACCTACTACGATGGACGGCACGGCTGTGGTCATGATTCGTAAGTATTCATCAAACTTCGGTTGGTTTACGAGTATACTGCTTCGCAACTGTTAATTGTATCGGGTCTTTGCGTTACACGGCTAGTTCGTGTTTTACGAATGGAAGAGAATACTGCAGCTTCGAGAGTTTTCCATGCAGTAGCTGCCGTTGAAAGCAGCGCAAGGAAAAGATCTTAACTCTATTTATTAGTAAGATAAAGTGACGAATGAACCGACATTACTTGCGATTTCCATTTGGTGCCGAATGGCTCAGAATAGAGCCGGCGTGCATCATGGGATGCTTACCATGGCACTGACAGTTGCTTTGATATTTACCTCGACCTATTAAATATGCTCGATTTTCTATTTGCACCTTTGTTCTTAGATGCAACCAAAGATCATGAATAGTTATCCTTCCACATTTAAAGCTCCACACATTCTCTTTCTTGCAAAAGGACCGCCTCTTCTATTTTTCATTCCCCTTTACGCATTTTGTAACCTTCCAGGGTAGGGTACACGAGTTGAAGCAGCTTTAAATGCTTTCTGGCTCCCTGGTTCATGATCTGCGTCTAATGTTCTTCCATTATAAGAACTCGAGTTTGCAATTCTTGGCTAAAATATTCTGTTCTTGCTATGGCAGCTTTGTACTGCGTCAACGGGCGTATCAGCTCACACCATCTACAATACTTACAGGTATGAGATGTCCAAGCCGTTAATGACGTTCCTTCACCTACCTCCATAGATCATTCAGTATTGCTCCACGTTCATTGCCATTTTTGTGTGGGAAAAAGCGGTTCGTCCTCTTCACCACTAGATCTGTATTTTATGATAGCATAGCTGCAAAGCGAAGCCGTAATAGTCGAGTGTTGTTGTGGTTGCAACCGTAAAACCGAGTTAGTTTTCGGCTAATAAAAGTCCTTGGAAGTTGCAGTCCTTGATCGTATCAAAATCTGGGTCATTGCGGTATAAAGAACCGACTGTTCCTTGACGGCTTGCAGGCTTTACAATGGGTAAATACTTGAGCCCCTCACCCGAAGGGGGAGTAGAGGCCAATCGGTTGGCAGCGCGTACCATCATGGGGAAGGTTCTATTTATTTAAATAATTTCGTTAAGAGAAGGCTTGGAATAAACTGAGGGGTTAGAGTAACTGGATGTGGGAAAACAATAAAACCCACACTACAAATTGGAGGTGCAGCTTGGTATAAAACAGCTTCAGCGTATCTTAAAATGGTTAGACTTTTCATCATGCATTACCTCATCGAACTCTTCTCAAAGTTTTGTCACACCATCGGTAATGTTTTGTGGGTTCACGTGGCCACGTCGGGCCACGTCGTGAGACCACTGTCTTTGTTGAAACGATCTTCGCAATTTTAGCGGTATTTGATGAACCAAACTTTCGAGTTTAAACTGAATATACGGAAACGTTTTCAGCGCGATAATCTCGACAGTCTATTCGAATATGGCGATGTGGATCTGGCAGAACGAGAGACAAGCTCGTAGTTTTTTTTCTTACATTATTTAATTCTTTTTTGATAAATCTAATAAATGTCTTTTCTCCTCCGCAGTTGGCACATGAAAGTGAATCCCTCGAAAAACATACGTTACATCCTCACCAATTTGAAACCGGCCACACAATACGCTTACTTCGTGAAGACCCTGACCATGACTAATTATCACATGCAAATGGACGGTTACTCACCCATACAATACTTCAGCACGTTGCCCAGCAAACCGGGTGCCGTGACAAAAATCTATTACTCGCCACTTAGTCTGAATAAGATTGTGAGTAGAAAGTCAATTTAATGCAAAAATTTTGTTCGGAAAATGCATTTCGAATTTTCTCTCACAAAGGTTTTGCATTGGTGGCCGCCAAAGAGACGTAATGGTGTTATTGATAGATATTTAATTTATCACGAAGAGACAGTTATAGCGAAAAGTAGTAAGTGGAGATTGGGAGTTGTGCAAAGTTATTAAATTTAATATTTTTTTAATTTTCTCATTCTCATTTCAAGATATTACGCTCGGCAATCATCCGGAATTTCGTAGATATCCAACAACATGCGAATGCGATGAAGTGCAACCCGAGGACAGTGGGCCGTTACCTGATGATGCAAATTACTATGATAAGGGGAAAATAGTTTACGAAGAAACTTTGCCAAATTTACTTTTCGTTACGTAAGTAAAGACGAAAAAAACTAGTAGTGAGAAGTTAAATAAGATTTGGAATTGTTAACCTTGGACGTTTCGTGGAACGAAACTTTAATCTGAATTAGCCGAAAGAACCAGGTCCAATATTTATTTTCACACAAACCTGGAAGTCCAGTCTAGGTCTAACACTAACTATAAAGAACGTTGCTTGAAGTGGTTGCCGAGCATCAGCTCACCTAGGCCCCAAGCGTATCATTATGATACCACTAACCCCCACCCGCTAATCAAACCTGTGTGTGAAGTTTGTATAGTTGAGCAGTCACCGCATCTTGGCCCCGCTAGCTGGCTCAGGTCTCCAAAGGTTGCCGCCCGTACTTACGTCGATTGGCTGCTCAAAAAAAAACGCGATTTTTCAAAAAAAAAAACTTTGTTCAATGACGAGGCAGATTTCTCGTTCGGGAGATACGTAAATAAGCAAAATTGTCGCACTTAGGGCTCCGAGAATCCTCAATTAATTGAAGAGAGAAAAAAAACTTACTGGTGGACCTGGTACACTCTTTGTCCGGAGGTGATTGGATCTTATTTCTTTGAAAAGGACAATGGCAAGACTATCACTGTCAATTCGTATCATTACAAACTTTTTAATTGAAGAACACGACTTGGACAATTTGTGGTTCTAACAAGACGGTGTCACATGCCACACAACATGGTAGTTTTATTGCGAGAGAATTTTTCTGGTCTCGTAATCTCTAGTCTCCGCGATGTCAATTGGCCACCGAGAACATGCGATTTGATACCGCTCGACTTTTTCTTGTGTGGCAATAAGTAAAAAGCCGTGCTCACACGGATAAACCTTTGACTCTTGAGCACTTGAAAACCAACTTCTATCAAGTCATGGCTGCGCCAAAAGGTGGTCGAAGATTACATCAAGCGGATCGAAGTTGCAAAAATTCGAAACCGCAAATTGAATAGCCCTGTATATACACACTCTTAATACATACGCACATGCTGCTTACTCCAATAACAATTATTTTTCTTTCTTTTAGGGGACGACGCATTGCTAATTCTAGAGTACGTCGTGAAATTTCAGACACTCCCAATACATTAAAATCCTTTTGGCGTGATGTTAAAAGACGTGAAATATCAGATGAAAATGTTACCACCGAAAAATCTACCCCAAATGATAAGATTCTATCTAAGGAAGAGCAAATAAAGAAAGACGATCATGATCTGCTAGAGGAAAGGAGATCAGATGAAAATGTTACCACCGAAAAATCTACCCCAAATGATAAGATTCTATCTAAAGAAGAGCAAATGAAGAAAGACGATCATGATCTCCAAGAGGAAAGGAATCGCCAGGGAGAAGAATTGTTCAACCGCTTTATGAAGCAGCAAGAAGAGAATGCGCGAAACACACAGGACACCGGAACTGATGATTTCCCAATTATTAAACAACGACCAATATGCCCGCTACCCGATGCATCAGTGCAATATCAATTGCAAAATAATTGTCAAGTGCGGGAAATGTATAGGGGTATCGTTGTGCCGGGCGACGTACACTCGTACGTTTTGGAAAATCTGCAACCCGACATAACCTATCGCATCACAATACGTGCTTGTGTTGCTGATTTAACAAATAGTTGCGGCACTGAAACTGTCATTTATGCCGAAACCGTTTCCAAGAGTATGCAGGCGTTTATCGCGGGATTGAAGGGTCCGGATTAAGTGCAAAAAACATGCATGTTTAAGTGTAGTTTTCGAAAAATGTTTTTTTTACCTTAAGCACAATTATTTTAGTTATGTTTTTTTTATATATTTTACTTAATAAACCGTCATTTTGATTTCCATTAAAACATAAAATATTTTTGATCTTCCTAAACTTTTTCTTACATCGTGGCGACTTTGATGTGTATTAGTATATACATATGTACAAATATTCACACGGCGTCCGCAGTAGTCACGTGAGTAGCGTTCTCAATTCCCCGCAAGCTTATATGCAAATATTGAAGAGTTTTTAGTACAACTTTTTTAAAATTTACATAAAAAATTTCCGATTAACAGATATCATTTCTACTTCCGTTAGCATGTTGGTAGCGCAGTTCAACTTTGTGTGATGCCACTGAGTTAATTCGTAAAGGAACAGTACACTGTTAAATTTTAATTCGAAAACCAACTGTGCTGCGTTGAGTGCCGAATTGACTTATGGAACGCCCATAATTCACGTAGCTTGAGCAAGAAATTGGCTGGGGTGGAGTCGGAACAAAGGAAACAAGTACTTATTATTAGTAAATAAATCGTATGATATATTATCATGCAAATATTATATTATATAATATATAATTTATAGTTAAAAGAAGAGTGAAATCAAAACAATTTAAACCGCGCGATAGACTAAATGAAGAGTGCACGTGGTTTATTCACAATCCATTTGTTCCTGAGGTATGTATTCATTTTCCGTGAACCGCGTGGTTACATTTTAGGCAACTACACGAATGTTCATACATCAGCAACGCTGACACCAATGCAAGGTCAATTTCACTTTCAAGATATGACGACATTTTCATCCGTTTGAAGATTAGCAGGTTATCAGTGCAAAAAAAAATTAACCGACCTGTCGTTCTTCCTTAAAATAATTAAATATCTTATCAGCTCGTTAGAAATTTTAAGTGGTTTTGGTTGTAATAATATTAGAAAGGGTCTAAGATAGAGCAATAAAAGACAAGAAATAGAATAACTAATTCATTTTGATGGACTTGGTTTCTTTGTATTTTATATTAAAACAAATAAACTGTTGTAAAATTGTTATTTTCAAGTATATAATTTAGTTTAATTGTTTCCACTATTAATGATATTTAATAATAAGCGTTTGATGAATGAATTAATCACAAACGCTAGAAAAAGAATAAGTAATTCATTAGATTCATGCTCATTGTGTCAAAATGTTGATATTTTTTGTTTTGATGGCAAAATAAAAAATCTTAAGCAAAGCAAGAAATTCTGCAAAGATTTTAATGCAATTCCGTTGGTACACACTCTCTGAACGTGTGATTTGGTCGGTAAGGCAGTGTCGAATTAATTTCGGTAGAGTATGGCTATATTATTAAAATTGTTGTTGTTGGCAATGCTGCGTTGACAATTTTTTCAGTAGGAGAAAAAGAGTCAAAGTAAGTGCAAGTGTTGTTAATTTTTCGCCAAATAATCAATTTTTCCACATTTTCTTAATTGTTTATTGTTATTTTGTAACAATCTAATTTTATCAAACTATTTATATATTTTCATAAATCGCAAATATACATCATACGTGTTTCCAATTAACGTATTATATGTGTAAGTGTGTGTATTATGTGCAATTTACGTCAGCAGTGACGCTGGCAAATGTGAATTGTGAATATATTTAGCAATTGGTGTATGCCGGAGCAACTTATCCAATAAAAGACCAAAATGATTCTTATTTTCCCGCATACTAACATAGAGAATTGTAAAAGTTCTACATGTGTATGGCTTGTTTATTGTTTAAAAATAAGAATTTTACAAGTTCAACAAAACGGCAAAACAACAACAAAGCAAGGCAATAAGAACACGTCGATTATTTGTGGGAAAAATACTTTGCACGACGTTTTATTGACTACATTTTTATTAATAGTAATTAAATAAAATTATTAGCATGGCAAAGAAAATGCAATATATAACCTTGGGAAAAGAATAGCCAAATCATAGAAATCACAAAAAATTGTAATAAAAATAAATGGGGTATTACAAAGATAGTATCATTGTCAAAGTCAAAGTATCATATTGTCAAAGTAGTTTAGAGCCGTAGCCTAGTGACTTGATTCAAAGCTATCGTTACTATTTCAAGTGTCCTTTTAAATTTACAATAAAATAATTTTTGTTTTCAAATTGAGTTGTTAAATAAAATTTGTAGGTATATATATTAAGCTTATCATGTATGTTTTGATGGCCAAAATGCACGTACAAGTTGCCTCAATTACGTTACATTAATTAATATCATTAAAACTAATTCCCCACATATATTTTTTTTCTATATTTTTTTATATTGAAAAACGTATTCTAAGCATGCGCCGTGGTACTTTTCATACTTACAGTCAGTATGTATGTTTAGTTCAAGTGCTTTGTTTTTTTTTTAAGTGCAGGAGTGCGTCGATATAGTGAACAATTTTTTCACTCGGTAAAGTTTATTTTTATAAACTTTTTTTGTCTGAAAAAAGTCTTTTCCGGTAATCAATAACCGGAAATATTATATTTAGAAATATATTTTTTTAAGCTTTCCATGGCTTATATTGTGGAGATTTTCAATAATGTAATAATAAATCTACTCCTTTTAAATATTTCGGTGTTCATTATACAGAAATACGCCTGCACCTGGAGTTTACTGTATCCAGATACTACATCTGTGAAGAAGGTAAAACAATATTTACGTTTTCTTATCATATATGTATGTATGTACATAGGTACGCAGCGCAATCATTTAAAGTTTTGACCACGTGTTTGAATACTCACCACTGAAAGGCTTATAATAACAAAACTACTGCGTGTTAAATGTAAATCTTACTGTTTTGGTTGTTTTAATATTTTCCATAAGTGAAATTTGAATACATCCGAAAAGCGGCCAAAATTGATTAATCGTTAAGGTGTAGTATTCCACCAGGGCAATGCTAGACCAAACACATCATTGGTCACTCGCCAAAAATTGATAGAACTGGGCTGGGAACTGTTGATGCATCCACAATTTAGCCCTGACTTTGCACCGTCAAACTACCATGTGTTTCGATCATTGCAGAAGCCATTTATTGGTGAAACTTTCGAAAATAACGAGGCTACAAAATCGCACTTGATTCAGTTTTTTTGCAGATAAAAACCAGAAGCACTATGAGCGTGGAATAAAGATGTTGCCGGAAATATGGGGAAAGGTCATGCAACAAAATGGAAATTACATAATTGATTGCGTTGTTGGGGCAACCCATTATTATAAATATGAAAACTATTGATTCCAGAAATCTGAAACTCAGAAAGCTTCTTCTGTAATGTGACGTAGGCATCCGATAAGAAAAAGGGTTTTCTGGGATGTTGAACTGTGCTCGATCTATTAGAAAAAATCAAAAATATTTTTACTTCGGTCGATTTGTTTGAAATTTGAAACATGTGGTCTGTGGAATCTTTTCTCTTTCATTTGATTTTACAGAATAGTTTATTATAACCTATAATAACATATTTATCATAAAAGAACAACGTGAAAATCGAATAAAATTCTTATTAGAACCATCTTAAAATTCCAAATAAAAAGAGAACATGCGACGAAGAGATTGTTCTGTTGTGAGGAGATTGAAGTGCTGTAGAAATAGAGATTATATTATTAATAAATTAGCTTTAGACAATAAATTTCGCTTTCCAATATTCGGCCAGATGACAACTGCCTATTCAATTTGCGTGTCCAAAACTATTACACAACTCAAGCAACAGAAAAAAACAATTTTGATTTTATTTGTTACAAAATTTTTTGCGCCTCAATAATGATTTTACTTGCGTACATAGATAAAATTAAAAGTAGAATGATTGTACTAGTACTTTTTTCTTGGGCTCTCAGAATATCTGCAAAAAAAATCATGACCTCTATGTATACATACATATATATCTGCTTATCATACAAATGCATATGTATGTATTGTATATATCTATCTAAATTTTACGTTGTCTAAAGTACTACAGTTCAATCAAAATAAAATGAAATACGAATATTTTATACGAGTATGTACATACATATATACTATATGGAAATGGCTAGTCAAGTAGAACCAGAATGTGAAAACAGCAGCGATAATAACAACTTTTTTTTACATGCTTGTATAATTGTGCTTTGCTTATAAATGTTTTAGAAACTAGTTTCTAATGAATTTTATGCATTTTTTTTCAACCAGACCTCGCTTAATGTGTTTTTGTAACTCTCGATATTGTTTTTGTTTTAGAATGTGTTTTATTTATTTAGTACATTTACTGAACTTACAGGCATGCATGTGTGTGTGTGTGTACATACGATACATATCCAATGATATATGTGTATATATAATGTAGTATAAAAAAAATTAAGTGCGATTTATTAGCGCGATTTTTGGCCAAGTTCCTACCCCAATTTGTTGTGAGCGTTTTAATGTTTTTTTTTTTGTTTCAACTAGTGGAAGGAATTACAGTTAGTTGTCTCGAAACGGTTGAAAGATTTTTTTTGAGTTGCTTTTATATTTCATGTCAGAAATACATTTAACGTGTTTGACGACAGAGAACCGCAGCGTGATCCCAATTGGAATATTACAAATTTGTTAAAATAAATTTTCTACGTATTTGAACAATTTTCGAACCCATTTCCTTACGAATGGTAGCACGCAACACTAGCTATTCGGCTACTGCGGCCGCCAGCGTAGCTTTTACATATATACGAGAGGATTAACAAAAGTTCGGTCAGTAGGTAATTTTCAATTTGTTTTTGTTAAATCTAAAAATATCAAATCCTTTGCAATTATTTTGTTAGTTTTCCTTTCAAATTTTAAAACGATCGGCTAAACAGGGGACGAGGACAAGCAAAAAAGCTGAGTATTGGTCAATAGAAATTCCACCACCAACGCAAACAGAAACACACAAATATTCGGTGAATGCCAAATTGCATATGGAACAATTGCACGGTCTTTATAAACTATTTATAAGTGGTTCCGAAGATTCCAAACCGGGAATTTTTCCGTAGAAGACGGTCCCCCCAGAAGGTCGACCAAAATCTTCCACTAATGACGTCACTGTAGCTCTAGTGAAGTACAAAATTGACGAAGATCCACGATTGACACCAGAAATGGTAGCTAATGAATTACGCTTGAATGCCTAACTCCTGGGATACATGAAGGAATCTGCTCGTTGGGTACCCTTAAGCTTGAATGAAGCCCAAAGAGGGGATCGAGTGCATAAAAAAATGCTAAATTTTTCCTAAACAAATTCGAAAATGGTCAGTCTGGCAACTTTAGTAAAGTCGTTACTGGTGACGAATCTTGGTTCAATAAGTACGATGCAGAAACCAAACAGCAGTCCATGGTATCGAGCCCAACAGGAGCAAGTTCACCCGTAAAATCCAAGCAACGAAAATCAGCAGCAAAAGTAATGACGTCAGTTTACTTAACCCGATCTAAAATCGTAGCTGCTATGCCATTGGAAAAGGGTCAGACGGTAACTGCAACATGGCATAACGAAGAGTGCGTACCAAAAGTTTTCGAAAATTTGTTGGAAAGAGGATTTGCGGCGCTACTTTTAACATCATGACGACGCGCCATTCCACATTGCTGAAATGACGAGTAATTTCTTTGCAATGTTTGGGATCGAAGAAATACGTCCAGCGTCCCCGGATATTGGAACTTGTGATGTGTGGTTATTTCCGAAAATTAAAAAAAAAATCAAAGGAAAGCTCTTTAAAAGCGACTGGGATATAATTAATGCGGTTAATGCTGAACTTGATAAGCATAAAAAGCAAGATTTTGAAGACTGTTTTCAAAAGTGGTTCTATAGGTTTAAGAAATGCATTGAATCAATAGCGAGAAGATAAATAAAATAAAGATTACGAATAAAAACATTTTTTTTTTTCTTTCAAGTCAACTTAACACGAAGTTCTGTCAATCCCCTCGTACTTATATTTCAAATGGCCTTGACTTTGATTTTCACGTTTTCTAGCATTTAATTAACGTACTATTTAATTTCAAATACAGTTGAATGGCTTATTGCAAAAAAAAGGCGAAAGTTTGGTTGCAAAAATGATGTTTTTTTTTTTTTGTATTTCAAATATGCGTCATCTATCCATTTTCTACGACGTTGAGCTTATGACAACTCGCAGGCTATCTTATCGTGAAACAAGCGTAGTAATATACAGATCAAATTATCATTGTTTATGTAGTAACGACGTGACCGCCTCGTTTCAAAATATCATTTTGTAACACTGTTACCAATTGCCTGGATTGTCTGCCTACCTAGACACGTAAAATAAGCAAAATTTATTTGTAGAAGGAAGTTATCTCCGCTCTGATGCTATCACTATATGCTTATCTATTTTTTTATCTTATTTTTTAAATCAGCAAGACGAATAATGAAGCCTTTTTGAATTCATTTCTTTACAGTTGCTTGTCGCAATAAGACTCACAAGGCGAAGCAGTGCTTTAGTATAATATCGATATTAATAGCAAATTTTTGTTTTTGAACTGTGATATAACAAGTTTGAAGAACAACTAGACACCGTACATAGGATTTCAATCTTACACTAAAAACAATATTAACCAAAAAAAAGGCGAAAATATGTCGCAGAATCAGTCATATTTTTGGCAAACCACCAAACATAATGTATTTCTCAAACGCTCGGCCAGATTACAAATGCTACTAGCACTTATGGCCGTGCTGACATTCTCCACCATATGTCAAGCAGAGGTGGCACGCAGAGAAGTTGATGAAAATGTAGCCACATTAAGTGCACCAAGCGTAAGTAATCATAGCATTTACATATTTATACATATATTTATGTATATATGTACATTTATTAAATTACGAACTCATTTATTAATATTTAAACTAATAATTATTTTATCAATTCATTTTTAAGGCCTTCCCCGATGACAAACAGTATGCAAAAGATGCCATAAACGTGAATGCAGGAAATGAATTAAATGAAAATGATGCCACCAATGAACCGAAAACGAATACCGGTTTTATCGATGCGTTCTCCGCATCGATATCAGTAATTTTATTTACTGAATTAGGTGATAAGACTTTTTTCATTGCTGCCATTATGGCGATGCGCCATCCGCGCTTAATCGTCTTTGCTGGCGCCATATCAGCGCTGGCGCTGATGACCGTACTCTCGGTGGTGTTTGGCATGGCAGCAACTATTATTCCTAAGGTTTATACATATTACATTTCAACTGCATTGTTTGCCATATTCGGTTTGAAAATGATCTATGAGGGTTACTTCATGAAGGATAGTGATGCACAGGAGGAAATGGAAGAGGTGCAATCAACTTTACGTAAACGTGAGGATGAGGTGAGTACATGCAATGATATAAGAAGAAAAATAAAATTGAATTAATGACAGAAATGAGAGTAAGCAACAAGACGTTTGTAATATTGTTTTATGCGTATTCTAATTGTTATGCGTGTAGTTACAACAATTGAACGATTTTTATTTAATTTTTTTTTTTTTTTTAGCCGGCTTACAGCTTTTGTATTATTTTCTCTACTATAAACCTCCTTTGGTTATTTGCGTATTGCTTCAACTGTTTCTTCATACTTTTACCTACTTTCAATTGTACTTCTTTTAGTGCATATTATTATTATTATTATTATTATTATTTTCCTTATGTCTGTAGTAACAGTTGAAAATTGAAAATTGAAAAAAAAGAAAGAAATGCAAAATCTATGTTAGTTTTTCGAAACTGCGATCACTTCATCATTAAGCGCATTAAGCACACACACATACAATTCATTGGTAGCGAAACATACATACAGCCATACATAATGTATATACTACTCCCGGAAGTTCATAGAAATATGAAAAATTATATTTAAACTACACAAATGATTCTTATTATCGCGCACACTCATTATGGGCTACACAATATTTGAGAACTAATGCAATTATAATTATCATTCACTATGTAGACACGCGCCGCTATTTGGCTTACATACTTTAGTGTGGTAAATTTTTTGGTTGACATTATCTGAAAACTAATGTAAATAAAAAACAAACAAAAACTTAAAAACACATTGCATACATAAAGCTTCAGTTAAAAAGGGATATCATAGGTTTTTTCACAAATAAATGTTTGGAAAAATGCTTGTACTTTAAATATGTTTATTTTCAAAAAATTCTACTCTATAAACAAATTATTTTTTAATTAACTGATGCCTCTTTTGCACGATGGGCCAGCGAAAAGTTTCTTGAAATTAAGCTATAAATCAACAAATTGATAAGTTTGTTAAATTATAACAAAAACTGCTATAATTAAGTTAAAAATATTTTAAAAGCGAAAGAGACGCACAAAAACAATTTTTTTGAATGAAGAATGCGGTTTTATTTATATACATATATATATTATTTTTATCAGCAGATAAAAACCTAGTTTGAGATTTCAGCACAAAAAAAAAACTGTTTATAAAAATAAATAAAAATAAATATCGCTTTTACTTATACATACATACATCCATATGTGTGAATATGTCGCAACACACCAAAAAAAACGCAAGCGGTTTCAGAGAGTTCCTTTTTATGTATACCAACACATACCACTTGTATTTTTACAACGAGTTTACCCACTGTGCTTTTAAAATAATTCAAGTCACACATGAAATTGCAATGCAATTATACAGCTTATTTTTTTTTTATTTAAGGGTCTCTTTCACTGTATGTCTTACTCAATCTTATTCAACATTTTGACTAATCGCACGTTCGTTAAGCTTCAAATTGCGTGTAATTTTGCAAAGATACTTCAAATAAGATAATACCCGTGTTAATTTTACTCACATTATTTTATATATATTTTATCTTTTGTTTAATTTATACTTAATTTTCCAACTTGATTTTGCAGCCGTCGCTACATAATTAAATCAAGCAGATTTTAGTAAAAAGAAAAAGAGAAAAAAAAAACAGATTGAGTTTCCTACTTTTATGAAACTCATAAACAATATATAAAAAGCTTCTTTAAATACAATTTTTATACTTCCAAAGTTGTAAAAAATAGGATCTTTTTAATATATATTCTTTTGATATTTTTCTCTCCTTTTTCAATTCTCAAATGCGTTTTGTTGCACAACTTACAACAACAAACAATAAATGCATTGAAAAAAATTAAATAAATTAAAAAAAATTAAATCATATTAAAAAAATAAATAAAATTAAATAACTTAAAAAAAATAAAATGAAAAAAAAATTTATTTATATAAAAAAATTAAATAAAATGAAATTAAATTAAATTGAAATAAAACAATAAAATATAATAAAATAAAAACAAATAAAATTAATTAAAAAATATAATAAAATAAATTGAATGAAATAAAATAAAATAAAATAAAATAAAATAAAAATAATAAAATTCACAACAAACTATTAAAAAAATAAAACAAAATAAATTGAATAAAATCAAATAAAATAAAATAAAATAATATAAAATAAAATAATAAAATAATAAAATAAAATAAAATAAAATAAAATAAAATAAAATAAAATAAAATAAAATAAAATAAAATAAAATGAAATGAAATGAAATGAAATGAAATGAAATGAAATGAAATGAAATGAAATGAAATGAAATGAAATGAAATGAAATGAAATGAAATGAAATGAAATAAAATGAAATGAAATGAAATGAAATGAAATGAAATGAAATGAAATGAAATGAAATGAAATAAAATGAAATGAAATAAAATAAAAAAAAATTAAATTAAATAAATTGAATGAAATAAAATAATATAATATAAATAAAATAAAATAATATAAATAAAATAAAAACATAAAATACAATAAAAAACATAAAATTAAAAATAAAATATTAAAAAAATAAAATTAAATAAAACCAATAAAATAAAATAAAAAATACAAAATTAAATCTAATTAAATTGAATTAAAAAAAAAAACCAAATGAAAAAAAAATATACAATAAAATAAAAAAATTACAAAAAATTAAACTAAACAATAAAAAATAATCCAACGAATATACGCATACTCCACATAAATATTTCCCTCCAAATTGCGCATGCATGCCACAGTTGATGCGTTCAAAGCGTGGCAAATACGATGATGCTGATGCCAAACGTAAGAACAGCAACTCGGACAAAGATGATGAAGACTTGGAGCGTGGCGCTGGCGCCATAACCAACGGCACAAACGGCAACAACATCACCTCGAACACCTCGTCCATCACCACTGTCGTCACACATAACAAAAATCCCGAAATGTCGCATCGACAACGCAAACATAACAACAATAATAATCATAATAAAAATACAAATAAAAATAGCTGTGATGTAGTAAGCAACAAGGATGCCGCTGATTCGGATAATAGCAGCTGTCATGAGAATGATGTCTTCCTAAATGGTGTGATGAATGGTGGTGGTAGTGTTATTGGTGTTGGTGTTGATATAATCGAAAACAAAAACCTAAACACCTACCATAGCAGTCCGGCATTATCGGCATCCGTGCTTTCAAATCAAACCGAACAAACGAATTGTGATGAATTTACTAATAGTCCCAATAAGATTAATTTTAAGACTAATAACGATAGTGGCGATGATGAGGGCATTTGCGAGGATAATTCTACAGTCGATAGTAATGGCCTTGCTGGTACACCATTGCATGACACACGTCATGGTGGTAAACTAACTAAAACAGGTAGTTTTGATCATTCAACAACGGCTATGGTGCATTCAGCATCTCAATCAGCTGTCGTTTTTTTGCACAACAACAACAATAAGCATGGAATCATTACAGGCAAAAATAATAGTGTAACTAGCTTAAATAGCCTGAGCCTCAACTCGAATGGTGGTGTGGTGACTGTGGTGGGCGGTGGCGTTATCGTCGGTGGACAGCCAAATGGCGAGTTGAAACAACTCGGCGGCAGCAAGAAGCGGGTTAGAAACCATTAAAATATCATTACAATCAAATAGAAAAAAAAACAACAAAAAAACACATTCAAACGTCATACATACATAAATATGCACAACAAATACAAGCATACATTTTTTTTTCGCATACATACATAAATCATTAAACATATTTTGTTTTTGCAATGTGTTCTGTGATCACCCATAAATACTTTCTATACATACATATGTACATTTGTCTTTATTTACTGTCAGACATACATTTTCGCTAAATTTAAGAGCCATGTGTGTGTTTATTTTTTATGTTTTTCTAAAAAAAATTCATAAACACGTCCTTCATACCCTGTCTGGTGCAAAAAAAAAAGTTACTAATTATTTTTTTAAATATATTTTTTCTTTTGTTTTGTGTTTCTCCATTAAAAACAACAATAATACTATGTGAATGTACCATCTTATGGCGTAGGAGTAAAACGATCAGATTTTATTAAAGCGCTTTGATGGTTTAGGAAAAGGAAAAAAAACCAAAAAATTAAAATCGCTATTAAGAAACTTACAAGCTAACCATAAAACTAAAAAAAAACTTTGAAAGCTTACCATATTTTTCATAAAAACGTACAAAATAAGTTACTAAACTATTTGTAAATTTTTAACAAGTCGTTTGCGGTGGCAAATTTTAACAAATTTTTATGTCCTTTAACCCTGTCATTTATTTTTAAAGGACGCAAACAATGTAACAGCAAGAAAAAATGATTTTCGGATATGTTTTTAAATTTCTCTATTGAATATTTTACAGTATTAAGCTTATATTTGTCTAGTATAAATTCTGGTAGGGTATCTTTACATATATATTTTTTTAACTGATCTTGCATGCTCCAAGAGATATGCGCTATCCTGCGGAGTTCCTAAAAAGCAAGTTTCCACTTTGCTGTCGTCCTAGTTGCTTTCAGGATACCTAAAATGAAAAAATACCAAAAAATAGGTTTCGAGTTCAGGGCAGTTATTGGTTTACGGTCACCGGTCAGTTGGATTTTTCGATTATCCTTCAGACGCGCTCCTCGGTTGTTTGGGTTCTTCGTAAACAAACAAAAAAAAAAGAGAAAAGATCATATTATCTACAGAGTGAGCGCCGCGTTGAAGTAAAAAAAATAAAATAAAATAATGGTGTTGTCTTGAAAAAAAAGTTAAAATTAACTATTTTCCATTTACAATTTTTAACCAATCGAAATATCCGTTGGTTTCATTATGCCTGAAATAATGCTGAAAATGATAACAAATTTTCAAAATACTTAGTTTTTGAGTTACAATCACAGCGAATTTCGAAAACGCTGTTTTCAAAAAAAAAAAAAAAAAACGCGTTTGAAAAAAGCAAATCCGTTTACCCTTACATGCGGTTCTCACGCTTTTTATAATTACTCCGTAACTATGTATTACACTTACACAACTTGAGTCGAAATATGTCGTTTTTTGAAAGTATAAGCTGTCGAAGAATGTCAAAAAAAATGCGATTTTTTGAAAATGTCACACTGATTGAACCTCTTAAATTTTCAATGAAGCAAAATTATAATTTTTTTACTTGCCCCGAGGTTACCAAACAGTTCAGTACAAACAGTAATACAAGGCAATTGAATTTACATTACCGGTTTTAGTTAGTAAAAAATCATAAATTCGCATTTATTATTCCTGGTTCTAGCGACTATAAATGTGTATTGAAAAAAAATTAATTAATTAGATTCATGAAAAATGATATTTAGATTAAAAATATAAAAGTCTATAATATTGAAGCTGTTTGTGGAGCAAAAAAAAAAACGCAAAATTTTGTATGGGAAGACTTTAAAAAAAAAATATATATTTTTTTAACTAATTTTTTTTTTTTTTTTGCATTATAGCCTTTAACTTAATCTAACATTGCATAGCATTTACTTTGAGCTAACCTTGGTGTGGCCATTAAATAAAATTTGCTCGTTTTTTGTAGGTTCCCTGCATGATAATGGGTCATACAAATAATGCATTTGGTTGAACTAAATGAAAAATAAACGACTTTTCGATATTTTTCCAATCCATACAATTGGTTCTTTAATTTCGAAGTCATTTCAATATCAAATCTATTGTTATCTATGGTTAAAGTTCGCTTTTACACTCACTACACATGCACACCGACTCGTACACAATTCATGTTGTTGCTGTTTTTTTTTTTTTTTTTTTTAAAGCCACCCACTCACATAACCGTCAACGTTTATCAAAATAAACAAACACTTGATGGCCAACTAAATAAATTTTGGTTTTTTTACACTTGTAAGCTAACGTTATTGTATACAAAGTGATGTGTTACATACATACATACATACATGTGTGCATAAGTATTGCATATGTAACTAGTTGTCTAACGCTCATTTGGCGCTATGGCAGCGCTTTAACTTGTATATGAAGTGATCGTTTTAGGCTTGAGGTACATATTATTTTTTATATTAATTTTTTTTCATTTTTTTATATCTGTTAACAATGTTTATTTATTTTTTGTTCTAGTATAAATTTGTTTGTTTGTATTTAGTTGTATGTATTTTGTGAAACTTATTTACTTCAGCTGTAAACCACATTACTTTATGGTTGTATAATTTTTCCAAAAAAAAAAAAAAAAAAAAATTATGTAGGGAAGCGAAAGTTCTTTTTAACAGCGTAACAGAGAGTTTTTAATGCGATAAAATATTTTTGTAGATAACTGTAGTAAATATGAGTCTTAGAAGAGAGTCATAAACAAAAGTCCCTTTCAAGATAAATTTCTTTTATTTTTGTTTTTTATTTTTTATTTATTTACTTATTTTTTTTTTTTATCTACATACGTGCTAGTTTGTGCGGCGCAATTTACTAAATAATAAAATTATTGCAGTCTTCTATAGCGTATTTTTTCACAAAGCATTTTCTTCGAGTTGTAATGAACTCTACAAAAAAAAAAACCTGTATGAACTGGCTGACAAATATTTTAGTTAAAAAAATGTTATTACCGATATATTGAGCCGCGCAAGTCACTCTGCAACAAAGCGTAAAAACTTGGTACAACTTCTATTATTGAAAGCAAGCATATTCCAAACTTAGCCTACATTTTTAAGTGTTAAAATATGCCAAGTTACGAAAAATTTCGCATATCCTGCATCGCTCTTCAACATTTTAGTCAGAAAAAAACAAAAATATCGCGTGGTATACTTTTTTTTGTGCTTAGTAAGCAGTATATTGAAGATTGAAGGGTCTTACACTATAGATAACAACAAAAACAATTTTTTTTTTCTGCAATAAAAAATGTGTATTTTATAATTTAATACCTTTCTGTATTTTTTTTTTTTGTTTTTTTTTGTTGTTTATTATTTTTAATTAATTAATACCACTTGTGTCTGTTTCGTATTTATGTAAATGTAAATACCCTTTCTATGATACTATTTTTAATTTAATTTTGCTTAAACTTCATTTCACACATAAACATGCATACATATGTACTCGTATATTAAAAGTCTACTGTCCCAACACACGGTCATATGACTTTCTTTTTACTCTCCAAAAAAAAAAAAAATTTTACAATTCATATATACTAAATTTATTTTTTTGTGCTTTGCATTGTCTACCACAACAAAAAAAAAATACTTATAAATACAAACATTTTTATATTAAAAAAAAAATAGCAAAATAGTAAAAACAAAAAAAAAATTGTATAAAAATTCTATTTTTACATACTCATTTGCTTCAAAATTTGCTACTGCGCACAGCTGGAACGTTCTGCTAGCTTGGTACAGGATGCTGAGAGCGGCGTGGTACGCAAAATTCCAAAGAAGAGTGCAGCGCATGTTAGTATGCGCATACTGATGCAGGCCTTCACGATGACTTTTCTAGCCGAATGGGGCGATCGTTCGCAACTCACAACCATTATTTTGGCCGCTAGCAAGGTGTGTAAGAATTGTATTTACAATACTACGAGTATATAATTGTTCAAAAAAAAAAAAAAAAATACTATATATTTTACTCTCTTCTCTACAGAATGTCTATGGCGTTATTACCGGTGGTATTATTGGTCACTCCATTTGCACAGGTTTGGCTGTGATCGGTGGGCGTATGGTGGCTGCGAAAATTTCTGTACGCACTGTAACCATAATTGGTGGCATTGTATTTGTTGGATTTGCTGTGTACGCTTTAATTGTAAAACCAGATGATATTTAAAGTACAATTTAATCGAATGAAAAAATGTATACTACAAAAAATGATTGGACGTTTATGGAAACAACAAATAGTATTTAGTTTATTCTTACATATTGCTTTTGTTTTTTTTTTTTACAAAGTGCTCAAATTCTTTTACAATTTCGTTCATGTATATTTTTCTGCTCAAATATTTAGTCTGATATTTTCACAACTTTCACAACTAAAGTGCACTTAACGCTGTTTTGCAATGTTAAAATGAGTTTATAAAAAAAAATAAAAATAATTAAACAAATTAAAATGTAATAAGCAAATTATATGACATTTTCAGTTGTTATATCAATGAAAAAGACACAAATTTCTCTACCTTCAAGTTCACTTTCGAAAAAGAAAATGTAAAACTTTTTATTTTATAATAAATATTTTTTTGCAAAATATTTTTTTCTTGCGCTTATAAACACGTTTTTGTATATTTTTTTTTTATTTTTTGCCAAATTACTTAACGAAGCCGGCTGTTTTTTTCATATATTGTACGAGTTTCCAAAACTTATGCAGGGAAGTAGTATGTAAGCGTCGGGTGGCAAGGAAAAATTCATTAAGTACATATTGTACAAACACAAAATTTTTTCCGATTAACTCAAAAGTCGCTGTCTTTCTTTTATTGTAAACCAAAGTTATAAATAATTGCTTTTTCAAATTCATAAAAGTAATCTTATTTGTAGTTTTTTGTAACACCTTTTTTTAATTTTTTTTTTTTTTTTATTTTTGCTACTCTTCATTCTAAAGTGCTTAATGAACTTTTCCTTTCAACCAACGTTTCAGATATGTATGTTAAACAAATGTAAAAAAATATATATACATCTAATTTTATAAAGTATTTTGTAAATCAACAACTATGGACAATTGACGATTTCCACATACAGATTATTATGCGTAACACACGTATCAAATTTGACAAAACCAAAATGCTAAACCGTTATTCAAGTATTGTGTATTGTGTTTGCTAAGTATAGAAAAAAAAGTGAAAACACCAGAAAAAAAAACGAAAATTAGTTTATTAAAAAAATAAAAGCAGCATAATTCAAGCAAAATTGTATATGAAAATCAGGTGTTTAATTTTTTCTTACCACATTTTTAGCTATGTCGTTGCTTACCGCTCCAGCGAGGATAAAGTGGTCTTATCTAGAATGTACTGAAGACGCATTCAACTTACCGCAGTTAATTTTCACAACCACCCCATTTACATATGTTAGCTCAGTTGAAATTGTATCAAAATTTGAGTTTGCTTTTTGCAATAGCAATAACAAATACTTGGTGTCTTTTAGTTTCCTTTCTTTTTTTTATTAAATATGTATGTATAGATATAACATTATAAATTTTTCTTCACAGCTTATAAATTAATCGAAAGTAACAGCATTAGATATAAAATCGTTATAAAGATATTAAATAATTTTTTACACTCTTTCTAATTTTAAGTGTCTTTTTTTTGTTTGTTTGTTTTTTTTTTTTTTTTGTTAAAAAGTCAAATTTAAAATTTTAGCAAGTAAATTTTTGCTGAAATCTACTTCTGTGTCTTTGGATCACGATAGATGCCAGTAAATAATATCGCCTTTGCATTGTAATCGTAAATAACAAATAAGAATGGATGATTACATTCGAATTTGGTTGGCTCCAGTGGACGTGCAGAACGGAAGCTGAAAAGTACGGTAGCCGCCGAGGCGGTGCTGCCCTCCTCATCCACACTTATTTTAGCCACGTGTTTGGCGTCACCGAATTGTAGGCTATTTTTGAAGAAATCACTGAGATCACACTCCCTTTCGAAGAGGGAATTGATGCCAATCTCTCGTAGAATCTAATAAATAAAGAACATACACGTACATATTTACATTATATATTAATGAGTTATGTATGTAAGTAAATAAAAAAGATACGTAGTTGCCGTTGAAAGCTTAGGAAATTTATAAGTGTAGAGATCTCGAAAAGTAAAACTTGCTATGGGTTCATGTCCACTATGTAGCTCACGCTTACTCTCGTACTCTCTCTCTCTCTCTCTCTCTCATACTCTCTCTCTCTCTCTCTCATACTCTCTCTCTCTCTCTCTCATACTCTCTCTCTCTCTCTCTCATACTCTCTCTCTCTCTCTCTCATACTCTCTCTCTCTCTCTCTCATACTCTCTCTCTCTCTCTCTCATACTCTCTCTCTCTCTCTCTCATACTCTCTCTCTCTCTCTCTCATACTCTCTCTCTCTCTCTCTCATACTCTCTCTCTCTCTCTCTCATACTCTCTCTCTCTCTCTCTCATACTCTCTCTCTCTCTCTCTCATACTCTCTCTCTCTCTCTCTCATACTCTCTCTCTCTCTCTCTCATACTCTCTCTCTCTCTCTCTCATACTCTCTCTCTCTCTCTCTCATACTCTCTCTCTCTCTCTCTCATACTCTCTCTCTCTCTCTCTCATACTCTCTCTCTCTCTCTCTCACACATACTCTCTTTCTCTCTCTCTCTCTTTCTCATACTAACTCAGTCTAGCTTGCTCTCTCTCATACTAACTTAGTCTAGCTCGCTCTTTCTCATACTAACTTATTCTCGCTCTCTCTCTCTCATACTAACTTATTCTCGCTTTCTCTCTCTCTCTCATACTAACTTATTCTCGCTCTCTCTCTCTTTCTCTCATACTAACTTATTCTCGCTCTCTCTCCCTCTCTCTCTCATACTAACTTATTCTCGCTCTCTCTCTCTCTCTCTCATACTAACTCAGTCTAGCTTGCTCTCTCTCATACTAACTTAGTCTAGCTCGCTCTTTCTCATACTTACTTACTTTCGCGCTCTCTCTCTCGCTCATACTAACTTACTCTCGCTATCTCTCTCTCTCACATACTTACTTACTCTCGCTATCTCTCTTTCTCATACTAACTCCCGCTCTTTTTCACTATATCCATCTCTCACGCTAACTCTGGCTTTTTCTCACTATTTCTCTCTCTTACTAACTTTCCCGTTCTCTCAAATTAACTCTAGTTCTTTTTCTTTCTTTCTGTCTTTTTATCTCTAACTCACGCTATGCCTCCCATTTTCTTCAACTTGTCTCTTTCTTTCTTTCGACCTCGATATTTCATCCCCTCTTGTGCTGTCGATTGTTTTTCCAGCTGTCCCACTCTCTATCCAGCTCTTACTCTCACAAAGTTCTAATTCTCTCGCCCTTTGATTGTCAGCCGGTAGACATTCCGCGTAAAGAAACTACAAAACCGATATAAGCTCCAAAGTTTAATGGTATACAGCTGCGGCTTGCGCAGCCCTACCAGAACGTTCCACTAACGACTGAGTCAGGATTGCCTAACAAGCTTCGAGCCTCAATTAAACGTAACACCAAAGCTTCAACGTTCAACGTGACTTTTTTTTTTTAGTAAACTCACCGGTATCAATTCAAGATTTTGTTCAAAGGCGAATTTTGGCAAGGAAACATCCACTTCGCGCGCCATGCCTTCTTTCAGCGCATCATCCAATGATTCTGGCGTCAATTTAGCCAAAACACCATCTAAATTATGGAATGGTGGCAGTATAATGACCATTGAGATATCAGATTCCTTTTCGTTGTCATTGGACGTAACGTAGGGCATTTCCAGCACGTAAGCGCCCAAATTTTCATCCAGAGCCAAATTGTAAGTGCCGCGTTTGTGCATCATATCGACAAATGAATGTTTACTCTCCGATGTGTAGAAGATATCTTTCTTCGTGTCCTTTGGATCAAATTTATTCGACCACTGTCCCTTAAAGTACGCTGCATTCGCCAGCACCAGTTTCGTTTGCGCATCAACATCACCGGACTTCAGCATGTCAGGTATTTCATTCTTAGTCACATTACTTATCCAATTATTGATTTCCACGCGACACTGTTCAGCATTATTTTGGAAATCCAACGAAGCCAACTCTTGCAGGAAAACATTTTGTACGCACTCGGTGATTGCAACATCTTTATCAAAGTAAATACGATCGGCTGAATCGAATTGCAATGGCATGTCCTTCGAACGCAACATGCGACTGCTCCGCTCCAAAGTGTAACCTCTGAGTACGTGATTCTTATTCTTTGCCCAACCTAACGATAGAGCTTTCGTCAGTTCGGCCTCAGTCTCACCACGTGCGCCGAAATACGCCAAGAGCAGTGCGTGATAAGTGCTGTAGGGCGAGAAGAAGATATTCTCGTTGGGTGTAGCCTTATTGATGGCTTGCAGCATGGCTAGGGTGAAATTCTGTTCACCACGATACAAATCTGCGCGTACCGTGTGCGGCACCTCAGTGGCATCAAGACCAATTTGGCAGACTTGCTGTGCATAAATGCCGGCTGTGAGGCAAGACAGGAAAAGTGCTAGAATTTGTAAACTTAACAGCGCCATTGTGACTGCGTTGGCGGACTATCTGTAATGAAATGGCAGATAGATATGTTATGAGTGGAAATAAGTATTTATGACGTTTAAATTTGAGTTTTTCTAATTCATTTTAATTCATTAATTCAAATTATGAACACACACTGAATCATAACGCACATATGAACAAACATAAAAACAATGCAAGTAGCAAATGATCGAGTGGATTTTAAGCTGTTAGAGCTTGACTTTCCAACAACAAATAATGTGAAAAAAAAACCACAACAAGTCAATGCTTTTAGCATAAACGACCTTGCTGCGGCTGAACCGTCAAACCGCATTTCAAATTGGTGACACACCACACTCAAGACGCCACCTGCGTACCGAACTATGGCGTCGCCCATTTGCTTATGAGCATAACTAATTTGCTTCTTTTTTTTTGTATCAAATACTATTTTGCTATTTGTCCAAATTATCATGGTCACCATGTCTCAAATCAGCTGGTGGAGCAATTGGCGTAGGAAACGTGACACGACTGTTAGGTGGTTGACCGGTCTTCAACTTGGACTAATTTTTGCCAAAAAAAATCTACAGCTGCAATACGGGGTTAAGTACAATGTTAAAAATTACAGAAAAAAGGAAAAAACCAAAAAACAACTCAAGGGAATCTTTAACGCTGAATGGGAACGCGCAAGGTCTAAGGTTCATATGTCTGCTGAAACAAGGGAGCCGATCTGATGGTTAATCATTATAAGTTTATTTTCGGTTCCGATTCGGCGATGGTCCAGTCGAACTCTAAGCCTTGACGACGGGAATTAAATGCAGAACTTATCGCGCTGCTCATCAGAATTCTAAATAACAACTTTACGTCTGCGATGTGCGGGTTAATGGATAAGAAACTAAACTACTCAGCGCATACTCATCAAAAGTGAGTAGCCCTGTTGCGAGATAGTCGTGTGAAGCCACTCCTACAAATTCGGTTTAAGTGCTCATTATATAAATTTCTCATAAATCGATACCTCTTCGCATCGCAAGATTATATGCTGAGCTTGAGACCCTCCACGTAGAAACTAGAACCTTTGAAAATCAAAGCAATGCATCAGCAGAGACACCTCATTTTTGTTATAAACTAATACAAGCTCCAGAGCTGAGCACATTAGCTGCAATGTTGTTGTTGTAGCAGTTCTCCAACACCTCATAGGAGCAGGCGAGACTAGTTCTATCTATCGAGGTCTTTCAACTGGGGATCCAGCAATTTAGCTGTTTTCGACGAGTGAAAAACTTGAAAAAAGGTCTTTGACACAAACCGCCTGACGGGGGCTCGTTGCATGCAGGGCATTAGTGGGGTATGTTGGGATTAAATCTTGCTAAGTAGAAACTAAATCGACTATAAAATCATAATTTTAATAGTGCTACTATTACTGGTGTATCTCAAGGCAACTCGAGCACTGCGTCAGCAATAGATGGTGCTTGGATTCCGCGAACGTCATTCACTGGAATAAAGCTCATGCCTGTCACTATGTCATTATCGTTGTTATTGCTGTTTTAGTTCCGGTTCACTAGCCCCGCTTAGGGACAAGCAAGTTAATCTAAGTCACCGTGGTCATCTAACGAGGGGAAAAGCTGTTTTGACGAGTTCGGACCAGAGGGAGTGAGGTTTAGATGTGTCGGTTTCAAGGGGCATTTAAAGAGGTCGCTAGTGTTGTACGGTGACTCATTATATGTAGGACATAAGTTGGGTATGTTGGGGTCGAGTCTGGATAAGTAAGGCCTGTTCCACTTCTTAACTGAACGACAGCTCAAAATACAACCGACCAAATCCTCGGCTACCCTTTTCATAAGCTGAACGAAGCCATGCAGGCTCGAACTAGATGTGAAGGTCCCATGCACCAAAATTCCGACCATAAATAAGTTACATTTGACAGCCTGCACTCAGCGTATGACCGCAAAACGCCAGAACCGCAACAAAAAAACCCAAAGCGCTAGTCGGCAGCACCTCAGGTAAATACAAAGAAACTTTGCAGGCAGCCTACAAAGCAATTTACCGGCCGGTCGTTAAGTATTCAGCACCGATCTGGGTACCTGGGACGAATGAGACGCAGTTGAAGAAGCTGCAGACTTGCCAAAAAAAACCGCCCTTAGAACACCTCCTGATGTCGCCTGGGCATCACTTACACACCTCATCTAGGCATATCAGAAAGGGAGTACTAGATATAAACGACACCATCCAGCAATACATTCAACAAACGCTGTACAGGACGGCGTACAAACAGGCACTGAACGCCATTCACCAGGAGTCAGTTAACACCTTCAAAGACTCCCTACCTGTGAATGGCGTACTCGGAGTTAAATCACCACACATAACAGGCGAAGAGCTCCTAAGAACCGCGTAATAGTAGCGCAACTTAGGTAAGTTAAACTCTTACTTATCCAGACTTGGTACGTTGTCCTATCCAGCGGTTCAGTGTTCCATATTCCTGCTATGGCGCAATGTATACATTCTTCAGACTGAGTAAGGAAGTGAGGCGAATGGGTCTGGTACTGCAGGAGGACAAGACCTAATATCTCCTGCTGACAAACAAAAAGTCGGTGCATTCGGGTTTGAAGTCATACGTCATTGTCAATAGACATAACATTAAGGTCGTAGATAAGATTTCAAAGCTAGCATCAACACCGACAACAGTGTCAACCATTAAATGCAACTCTGAATCACTCTTGTCAACAGGTGCTACTTTGAACTAAGTAGGTAAATGAAAAGTAAAGTCACCTCTCGACGAACCAGGACCAAACTCTACAAGTCGCTTATCATTTCTGTTAAATGGTGGTGGTGGTGGCATAGACGATGACGACACCTAATGAGTCGGCGCTAGAAGTTTTCGAAGATAAGACTTTGCGTAAGAACTAAGAACCTTTGCGCATTGGCCAAGATAAATACCTCAGACGATAAAACTGTACGAGTTATACGACGACATAGTTCAGCGAAAGAGGAGTTAGTGGTTAGGTTGATTAGGGTATGTCGTCAGTATGAACGACAATATGCCAGCTACCCCTGCGGGTTAGGGGTTCAAAAATTTATCCGCGTTAAGGCATGCCTGTCGTAAGAGGCGACTAAAATCCAATAGTTCCCGCGACAGTCGGGTCTTTATACCTGAACGACATGGATTTTTATCCGGCCTAGGATTGTCACTCCCGCAACGTTCCCCAAAAATAACTTTGGGGAATATTTTTGCGGTTACAACAACAACAACAATAACATCCCAGCTTTTAAAGCATTCAACGCACTACGAGCCTATCCGTGGAAGCAGGGGAGGAGGAAGACCTAAATTATCAATAAGTACACTGGCTGAGTCCAACTAAACTTTTTCTGTTTTAGTAGTGAGGTCGAATTGCGGAATCGGTTAAAAGTTGTTTCAGCGCCCCACTGGTTTCTGAACCAGGACCGTCTAGTAAGCAGACTTAGTTCGAATGCATGTACATTTCAAGAGAAATATATTTTAGCCACCTGGGCAGTCATTTAAATATATTTAAGATTACTCCGTTAGTGATAAGTCGGCTTCGAGAGTTTTCTGCGAAAAATATTTATCGAATTCCTTGAAATGAGTAAACAGTTATCAAAAATTTACTGCAATGTGAATCATTTAACCGAGATTTAATATAATTATACGAATGACTACAGTCGTAAGTGCATAAATGTATATAAATACATATGTATGTGTGTACACCCAAAAAGAGTTTTGTGCCACCGTTGGAGATGAACTGCGTAACATCGTTTAAACGTAGCAATTACAGTTAATATGGTAAAATAAAAATAGCAGCAGAAATGAAAAGTGAAAGTTTTCCAACAGCAGTAAATGCAAGACGTAAATATTTATTTACTCCTCAACATATATACATACTACATATTTATATAGGGTTATCCATTTAGTGGTTTCAAAGTGTAGACGAGGACCGCAGTGTGTCTATTTTCTGACATTCTCAGGAGCTGCAACTTTCCTTCGGCACATTATGAAGATTTTATACTATCACTTATGCCAACATTCATATGAAGTCCACTCCACGCAACAACTGAAGCTTGCAAGTCATCACAACACCGTACATCCGTCGATTGGGTGCTTGAACAACAAGCAGTGGACGGTGATTCTTCGCACAAAATGTACCTCATTTCGCACCCGGGGTATACGTAAATAAGCAAGCGTGTGGCATTTGGGGTTGCGAGGCTCCTCAACAGATTGAAGAGCGGCCATTACACCCTTTTTGTTTTAGAGGTGCGAATGGACCTTACTTCTTTGAAAAGGACAAGGCGAGGCAATGATTGTCAATTTGGAGCGTTATGGTCATAAGATACTTTTTTAGGTCTCCAATTGATTTGCACACGACTTGTACAATATGTAGTGTGGTGAAATGTGCCACAAAACACTGCGAGAGAATTTTTCCGGCCGCGTAATCTCTCGTCTCGGCGCTGTCAATTGGAGACCGAGATCGTGCGATTTGATGCCGTTAAACTTTTTTGCGAGGCTAAGAGAAAAAACGTGTTTATACGGACAAACCTTAAACTCTTGAGCAATTGAAAACCAGCATACATTAAGATATGACTGAGATACCGCACTGAGATGTGCCAAAATGTGGTTGAAGATTCGCCAAAATCGAGCGAAATTTGCAAAAAAAATTCGCGAGACGCTCATTTGAATGATGTCGTGTTTCACATACGACTATAACGCTAAGGTTCAAACTTTATAATCAAAAAGGCATTTCATGAAAAAAAGAAAATGATTTAAAATGCATCTCATGACGTTTATTTTCGAAACCGCATAATGGATAAACCTGTATATGTGTACATGCACAAGCATTGTATTTATGGTATGATTTATGACGATGAGGTACGCTTTTAGGTGACATAATCTTAAGCCCACAGTAGCCGAATGGTTAGCATTACGTACTGCCTTTCGGAGTACCCGGGTTCAAATCCTGTTGCGACCATCATCTAAAAGTTATAGAAAATTAATTTAAATAAAAAATTTAGTTAAATTTTCTAATTGCGGTCACCCCTGGACA